CACAAAAAATATGTTTTAAGTAACTTTGAGATCATTTAAATGTATTTTTTTTATGTATGTAAAGATGTATATAAAAAAATTACTTCGCTGATAGCAGACAACAGACAGACACAGACACAGGCACAGCACACGCACACCCAAGCACACACACAGACAGACAGAAAGGATTTTTCAATTGCTTTGCTGCTGAGCTCGACAATGCATTGAATTACATAAGAGTAAACTAATACAGTACGAGATTTCATGTGTGTATGTGTGCGTGTGTGTGTGTGCGCGAGTGTCTGTTGCGTGTGCATAATAAAACGCCATAACTGTATATTTATCTATAGAGCTAAATAACTAACTGCCTAAACTAACAGCATGCCACGCCTACAACTACTGCTCGCAATCGGCATCGGCAACATTGTCATTCGCATTCGCATTCGCATTCGCATTGGCATTGGCATTAGCATTGGCATTGGCATTGGCCACATTCACCTGACGCAGCAGGCGCAGCTCGTGCGACGCCTCAACCACATGCGGCTCATCCTCGCCAGCTTTGCTGACGCCCATGCTGCTCAGATTGAGCGCCGCATTCTCAGCAGCTGCATTCAGCTGGGTATACTCCTGAGCGGACAGTTTCAGGAACTGTTCGTAAGTGGTTAGATGTTGCTGCTGCTGATGATGTTGTTGCTGCTGCTGCTGCTGCTGCTGCTGTTGCTGTTGCTGTTGCTCCACATCAAAGTGTTGCTGCTTGCTGCTGCTGCTGTTGCTGGTGATGCAGGCATTGTAGGGCGGTGGCGGTGGACGGTCTTGATAATTCACAAGTTGTTGTTGTTGCTGTTGCTGCTGTTGCTGTTGCGTTGTGTGCTGCTGCAGCAACATGTGCGTGTTTTGACGCAACTGCTGCTGCAATTGCTGTTGTTGCTGTTGCTGTTGCTGTTGYACCTGATAGCTATTCTCTGGCAGCACCTGCGCATAGAGCACCTCATCCACCTGCAGCGCCGCAATGCCACCCAGTTGCTGCTGTCGCTGCTGATGCTGCGGCGATGTTGGCGATTGTTTGATGACGGTCGAAATGGTTTCCTGTACGCCCTGCAGAGCTTCCTCTGTGACGGCGGCAGCAATATTGCTGTTGCTGCTCGAGTTGTTGTTGTTGTTGCTGTTGCTGCTGCTGTTGTTGTTGTTGTTGTTATTGTTATTATTATTGCTGTTGTTATTGCTCTTGTTGGCATTATTATTATTGCTGTTGCTGTTGCTGCTGGTTGTGTTGCTGCTGCTGCTGTTGTTGTTGTTGTTACTTGTGCTGTTGTGGTTTCTACTCGTGTTGTTGTTGTTGTTGTTGTTGCTGCTGCTGTTGTTGCTGTTGCTGTATTCGCTGATTTGTGCATTGGTGGGTAACGCGGACAGATTGGGCGCTGCTTCATGCAGCTCATGCTATTCCTTTATAAGGCGATAGATGTGGTGCGTGGTGCCGCTATTCTGCGCCGCCACCTCAAACACATACGCTATGCATAGCAGTGTCTCCTTCGTTTCCTGCGCTCGCATCACCTACACAGACAGAGATGGAGATAGTTAGAGTTAAGAGTGTTAAATAAGAGAATGAGGATGATGAAGGAGACTTCTCATCCCATCCCATCCCATCTCATCTCATCTGAACTCACCTGCAATATTGTAAAATTCTCGAGCACACTGTTCATCATATAGCGTTCAGGTAGGTTCTTCAGCTTCTGTATGAAATTGATCATGTATTCGCACATCGGCGAGCGCTGAATCCGATAAACGTAGCGATTGTGCTCCAGGCGCGAATACTCGTGCTCCACCTTCTCCACCACCTGTTTGCCGAACGAGCAGACGATTGTCGAGCAGACGAGCTCAATGTTCTCATTGCTTTCATATCTGTGTGGAGTGAGGAATTCAATTAGATTTATCTATCGAAGGGCCTGAAGGGCCCTGGGGGGAGGGGGCGAGGGCAGTAGTGGGGCGGATAGATAGGTAGATTTTACTTACTGGCTGGTTACGCCATAGAAATCACCCGTTTCGCTGCCCGTCGTAACGTCCGTGTTGAGATCCGCCCAACATTTAACCAGGTAGAACGCATTCTGTGGACCCTGCTCGTAAAGCTCCTTGAGACCGCCGGATTTCTCCGGAAACTTGTCGAATATTTGTCGTATGTCAACAGTCTGAAATAAGCAAAAGATTAGCAATAGATCCATATCGATATATAGGGAGAGTGAGAGAGATGTCGGTATTTTAGACTCACCTCAAGCAGCGGATCGGAGAAGGATGGCTTACCGCCCAGTTGTACGAATAGATGTCGGTGATACTACGCAAGAGAAGAAGCGATATTTAGATATATACACACATACAAACATAGAGAGGTTTCGATAGCACTTACGATCTCATCTCTTTGGATTTCCATGAAGGCCGTAAACTCGAGCAAGCGGAATTTCTGTGTGGCAATCGCGCGTCCCTCCCATGGCAATTGTGCGGGCGGAATACCAGCCTCGATTTCGCCGGACACCGCCGTCGATGGCTTGCCGGGCGTATAGGGCGGCTGGGCGAACGGCTTGATGCTGTAATCATAAAAACTATTGGTCAATGCAAATGCGTTATGTTTTTCTCGATTTTGGGCTAGCGATGCCAACTTACTCTTGCGATGTGCTCGGCTGCAGGCCGGGTTGCCAAAATTGCTAAATCAGCCGTGAAGCAAGTGCGTGAGGGGGAGAGAGAGAGAGAGAGAGAGAGAAATCACATAGTTAATATAAATGAACGTTTTACAACACTAAAGCTAAGCAGGATTTCATTAATATTGATTGATTGATTGATTTGGTTACATAGCCGATGATGACAGATGATTGAGCGATTATTGATTGACTGATTGATTGATTGCCGTTGATTACATACATATACAAATAGACCAGTACAGTTATGTACGCAAAATATTTTGTTAAATATTAATATTTACATTTCTATATACATATACACATATATATTGTTTAGATATTTATTGATGTCGTTTAATAATTGTTGTTGTTGTTGTTGTTGTTGGCATGTAATAACAAAAGCAAGGAGTCGATTTCAATGAGCAAGCGAGCGTTGAGCAGGTGGATTTTCGGGCCTCTAGACACACGAATAACGAGTAGCGAGTGGCGAGTGACGAGTGAGTGTGAGAGAGAGAGACAGAGAGAGAGAGAGAGAGAGAGGGAGATTGAGATTGAGAGAGTGACAAACTGGCGAATAACGAGTCGTAGTCAATCACAAAAAGGGGGCGAGTAACAAGTTGAATTGCGAGCAAACGTATGGTGAGTAACTTGCGTGTGTGTGTATGTGTGTATGTGTGTGTGTGTGGTGAATAACGAGTAGACAAAGAAATTATAATCGTATGCACATTATGAACAACATAGAACCAGTTAAGCACAGGAGCATAAAGCAACACTGAGAGCAAGTCAATGAAGATCAATGGAGGAGAGATGCAAAGGAATAGCAGACTGCTAGAGAATGAAAAAGAAAAGAGAGAGAGAGAGTAGGTCAGTGTGAGATAGCAGGAGAAAGAGAGTGATAGAAACAGAGAGCAAGAGAGAAAGAATGAATGAGATGGAGGGAGAGAGCTAAATAACGAATTAGAGGGAGAGTGAGGGAGCAAAAGAACGAATAAGAGAGAAAGAGGAAGAGAGAGTGCGGGAAAGCGATATTCGGAGAGAGAAAATAGAGAATGAGAGAAATGAGAATGAGATAGAGAGGGTAAAAGAGAGTGAAAAATAGAGGCAGAGACATAGAGAAAAAGAGAGGGATTGAGATAAAGTATGAGCGGGAGAAGGCAAAGGATAGAGAATGAGAATGAGATAGAGAGGGTAAAAGAAAGTGCGAAATGGAGTGAGAGATAGCGAGAGAGAAAGAGGTAGAGAGTATGAGCGAGGAAAATGTATAGGATAGAGTGTAAGACAAATGAGAATGAGATAAAAAAGGCAAAACAGAATAAAAAATAGACTGAGAGACAAAGAGAGAAAGAGATAGAGAGTATAAGCGAGATAATGGCAAAGAATAGAGAGTAAAAAAAAATGAGAATGAAATAAAGAAGGTAAAAGAAGGTGAAAAATAGAGTAAAACAGACAGAGAGAGATATAGAGAGAGAGAGGCAAAGGCAAAGGCAAAGACAAGATCAGAGATCAGAGATCATCACGATTTAAAAGACAAGGAAACGAAATGACTTGAGAAATAGAGGGCGAGACAGGCACCAATAGATAGAGATGGAGAGAGAAAGCAGCAGCGACAGCTAGAGCGAGAGAGAGAGAGAGAGAGCATGAGTACACAAACATAAACGAGCGCAATACACGAATATACGAAACGCATGATCCGATGATTCAGCCAGCGAGCGCAATTAGAGCAGACCCGAAGTATAGCAGTTCGATCAGCTAATGAATTGTTGTTACAACTAATGAGTGTGAGTCGTGCCTGTGAGAGTGTGTGTGTGTGCGAGTGGGTGGCCAATGGGGGGTTATCGATGTGAATGCAATGTGACGGAAGGACGAGTCTAGACGAGAGCCGTGAGAGCGAGCGAGAGAGATAGAGAGAGAGAGAGAGGTGTGCTGCTTCTGTTAGTTGTTGCTGATTGTTGTTTTTGTTTGCTTGTTGCTGTTGTTGTTGTTTTGGGAATTTGTACACCGATGTGAAGTGGCATATTGGCGGCTCTGAGTGGTTCGTATGCTTAGCATGGATAACTTGAATCTGATTGCTTACGCCCGGATACAACGGCGGGTGGTGCAATGGCGGCGGCGGCGGTGGCAGCGGTGGCTCGGCCACTGATGGTGACACTGCATCTGTTGTTCCACCACTTGACTGCTGTTGCTGCTGATGGTGCTGCTGTTGTTGCTGCTGCAGGTGCTGGTGCTGCTGCTGCTGTTGTTGTTGTTGTTGTTGTTGTTGTTGATGCTGCTGTTGCTGTAGGTGGTAAACTGCTGCAACGGCCGCCGCATGTTGCTGATGATGTGGATGCATATGGCTATGCGTGTGGTGCGGCATATTGTGATGGGAATGGTGGACTGGGTGGTGGTGGTGGTGGTGGTGTAGTCGTGGCGACGACGACGACGACGACGATGACGGCGGCAGTGCAACGCTGCTGGATGCAGTTGCACCACCACTACCACCGGCAGCACCACCACCAGCAGCAGCACCAGCACCACCACTACCAGCACCACTACCAGCACCACCCGCAGCTGCCGCCGGTGACTGTGCAACGGCAACCGCAGCCGCAGCAGCAGCGGCAGCGGCAGCAGCTGCAGCCGCCGCCACGCCCACCTGATGATGGTGGTGCGGATGATGGTGGTGGTGATGGTGGTGCAGGTGCGCATGGTGCGGATGCTGATGGTGGGCGGGCTGCGGCAAATGCTTCGCGTGCTGGTGCACGCCCGCCGTGAGCGCCGAGGCGGCCAACGCTAGATTATTGGCCGCCTGGGCGGAGACAATCTGTGAGCTGGTCATTGAGCTCATGGCCTGCAGGGTTTGCTCTTTCTCATTGAGTAAATGCAAGGAGACACCATTTGGTTCCTGGAAAACAGATTGTCATTTTGTTGGTTGGCTCTCGTGTGTGTGTGTGTGAGTGTGGGTGTCAGTGTGTGTGTAGAGAGAGAGAGAGAGAGAGATATGACGACACACTCAAGCATTATCAAATTCTATCATTGAGCTGCAGACAGACGTCACTTGGCTAAGGGGGGGAAACTCACATATGAAAGCCACAAGACTCCGCTTAGCACCAATACACGCACAACTGTGTGTATGTGTGTGTGTGTGTGTGCATATGTGTGTGTGTCTGATAATGAACTGAACAATTTGTGTAACATACACATGTATATATATATAGATATACACATATATGTGTATATATATATATATTTGACTGATCTGTTGAACTGGGCTCCACTTGCAACTGAGAAACTCTTCCTTGCTTTTCATGCTCTTCGGCTAGATTTGCTTATCGACAAAATATCCACATTAACAAATACAGAGAGCAGAGTTAAGCTCACACAGATAGAGGGAGAGAGAGGGAGTGTGTGTGTGTGTGTGTGTGTGAACGTGAGCTTAACTCTACTTGGTTAAACAATTTACTGTAAATGTACTTATGCGCAAGCATGTGGACAATTAACGTATGGCAAATTGTTTGCTATATTCTGTTTGCTCTTCACATTTGGAATATATACTATATATAGTTGTATATATGTAGATGCATATATATATTTTTATATATTGAGAGTTGTATATATGTGTATATCGATATACACAGATTTGGCACACTTACGACTTTGATTTTGGCTTGAATTTCACGGAGTTTCCGTCTGGCGAGCACTTGGATATGGGAGCTGACTTGTTTACGGGTTCTCGTCTTGCCCGTGCGCAGTTTGATGTAACGCGCGATTAGCTCGTTGCGCCCTATAAAAACGAAACAGAAAAACAAAACAAGAAAAACTCGAATTAATTTTAAGAAATAATAATACAATCGAAAATGCATTCCATAGATCAGACATCGATGTAAATCGTAATCGGAAAAAATAATATATGATATATCATGCTAGATATAATATATATAAACGTACATATATATAACAACTGTATTATAGACATATAACTGCACATTTTTGGTGCCTAGTCAGGCATGAATCTAGACCAAGTTACGCTTCTCTGCAGACCATATTGAGCATAGTTATTTGCCAGACTTCAAATATTTGTAGAAATAAGAAATAATAGATATTTGTATGTATATGCCTCGATATCTAACATATTTGGCATATTTAATAATTTAATGGATTTCCAAATTAATTTGGGAATATAAAATAT